ATAAGAGAAAATTGCATTACATAGGTTTATGCATTCAGAAACTACCTCCGTAGCAAAAGATAACCTTCTTTCTTATATTTTTCCTACTTTATTACGAATATAGCATTTCATTTGAGATGCCACATAAAAGTAAATATACATCCATTGGTTTGAGTCGTTTGACACGTTTACCAAAGTACCTCCTCTAGTTTGATGTCATGTCAGGAAGGAGGTTGTTAGGTATCCCAAATACAAGAACCTAACAAGAACACTATATTGCAATACAAAATAGGGATTACAATACCGATAGCCTTTCGAGAGGGCTATCTCTCTCCCAAGAACTCTCTCAAGTTTCTCACACAAAACCATTCTCCAAGATGTCCTTTTCCCTCCCCTACTACCCTTATTTATAACAACTCACCATAATACTCTCCCACTAATATACTAATAATATTCTCAAACTGCACTTACTAGAACTCTCACAGAGGTTTATTTTTAGGAGTGGTTTATTTTCAGGAGTGATTAGAATGAGTGATTTTGAAAACAAAGATTTAAGTATAATTGATTTTCTAAAATTATCACGCAAGTGATACCTTAAAAATCAATTTAAAGTGATTTTAAGCTTTCTTAAAATCAAATTTTTAATTGGCCAAACATGATCAATAAGAAGGGAAGTGATTTTGACAATAACAAAAGTGACTTTGCAATGCCAAAATCACTCCCAAACACACCCTTTGCACCCTATTAATTCCTTGGATTTGAAATAATCACTTTTAGCCCATTGAGATATAGTTACGTTTGCATTAACCATAAGATAAAGTATCTAACGTCCTCAATATGTCATTATTTACCAGAAATAAAATTTTCTTTGGTTCTCATGTCATTCCTGTTATCCAACCAAATTAATATTGGTTTTGGATTGATTGTTATCAAGTTATGGCAAACTGATAAAAGTCTTTCGTTGTTTTGTTGTTCCTTACAATTCATCAGATCAATGGATCATTGGCACGTCGGGCAATTAAGGATTTGATGGCGAGAGGTTCAATTAGGCTCATATCGGCTCATTCTAGCCAACAGATATACACTAGAGCCACAAATACATGATCAAAGAGTTTCTGTTTGCAAGAGGGACATCTTGTTATTTTTTGTGAGGCCACCATGTCAGGAGCTAATAATATCTATGGTTTTGAACATTATCTTCTGCATCTGTTGAATGATGTTGCATTGAGAACTCGGATGAAAATTATTTGCATTGCTCAAACGTAATTTTTGAAACATTTTCTTATCTGTGGCTTGGCAATTCACTGTCACGTGGTTTATGTTCTGAGCTCAAGCAATTTAATATGAACAAGATTTGTGAATTCCTGTTTGAGGAAATTACAGAAGTTACAGCTGTACTTAATGTCATGGGCATAATTATTTTCCACATTAAGTTTTTTTTTGGTAACTATCAAATTTTGTACTAGGGTTGAGGCAGTAGTAACATGAATGCAGGTAAATACTTCGAGACTTCGTTGAGGATCAACTGTGTTGTCTGTTCGTTGGAATATACTTTCTAACTCAAGTTTTCTTAACCATTAAGATGAGAATTGTGAAGCACAAAGGTAGTCTTGGTTGTGCTCACCGAAGCTTTGTACGGTCTTAGGTGCTACATTAGTATGAGGTCCAGCAAAGAAAATTTGGCTTGGCTAAGCATATCTTGGCTGGTTTTCGAAAGGGGTTACATGAGGTATCGGTACTGAGGTACAAAGCATACGGGCGGGAGCCAAACTTTTAAACTTGCCACGTCCTCTATCTCAAGTGTATCTATTTAATGGTAAGACCTTGCCCCTTGAGTGTTCACGAGGATGCCTAATATTCTCAAGTTTACTTTCAAGTGTGGAAAGTGTGTCGAGGTGAGATTGGGTGAGAGGTGAGTCGAGCCAAAAGATTGACATTCTAAAACATTTGAAGTATATGCAAGTGATTGAAGGAGACAGAGTCAAGTGGCAATACAATCCAACTAAACAGAACTACTTGTTACAAAAGACATCTTTACGTTGCATCAAACGTAAAAGTTATTGTTGCAGTAAACATAAAAGGTATAATCTAATTAGTATCTCACTTGGTAAAATAGAAGGGTTAAATGATTGAAAATTGAGATTGTTAAATAATACACATTGAACACTAAGATTATACAGTTGGTGGTTGTATGAATATCCATAACCCAAAAAAAAAAAGAAGTGTGATTTAAAGGTGCATAAGAGGGCCTTGCTAGTTAGAATGCACAAGAGTTTCACCACAATGTCACCCTAAATAGTGTTGCAGAGGATTCTTATGCTTGTCTGCCTACAGTGATGTCGATGAAAATATATAGCTCCCAAAAATGTTGATATCAACAGATATTTCGAAAAAATTACAAAAATTATAAAAATTATTTGAATTAATAAATAAAACATCGATACGATGGTTAAAAGTAATAATTTATAGTCTAATTAAAATTTTATTTACTAATTCAAAACATTTTCATCTATTTTCACACTTTCTGTAATTTTTCTTCAAATACCAATCATTAATATTTCCATCTAACATTTCTATAAAATCGAGACATTCAAATCTCAAACTCTGGTTGAGAGTTTATTGTTGATTATTTTGTTATTAATTTTACTTAGTAAAAAGAAGACTTCTTATCCTCGAAAATTCACTCCTCCCGACGCCAAAGAAGACCGACCACACAACTGCACCAAATCTTATATTAGGGATGATTTTGTTCAAAATGAATTGTTCTAATGAATCCCTCTGAAAATATTAAGTTTATGTTTGGGAGTGATCAATTTTTTCATTTTCTAAAAAATCATTGTACGACATTAAGGATGTGAACACCCTCTTTGGAAAATTGGAGAACACCCCATTTCAAACCATCCTAGACGAAAATTTGATAGATACATGATAGCTTTTCATAAAGTCATCAATCAAATTGGAGTTTCTATTTACTCAATATTTATTGGAGAGAATGTGAAATTGAAACCCAATTAAACCAAATCTTGGTCACAAAGCATGCACCCATGCAGTCTCTCACTGTCAATTTCCAGGAAATGAAATAAGGTTGAAGAGAACCATTTCCAGAGAGAAACGTAAATCTAAACAGAATGTTTTCGTTAACCAAGAGCCATATGCACTCGATTAAAGGTTTATTCAGCAGAAGAAAGAAGAACACTCACCTCCTCCTCTTCCTTCAGACGCTGATGAGATGAAAAACAACATGCTGTTTGCTATCTCAGTCCTGGACTTCTTCTGGCTTCTTTTTAGATTTGAGATACCAGCCAACTGCACCAAGAATAGTCACAGTTCCCGCTACAACAGCGTAATTGCGGTGTTTGTCAGTAGATATCTTCTCTGCTGATGCTCCTGATGCTGATGCTGAGGCTGAGCCACTTGGAATGGAATCAGCCGCTGAACCTCCCGGCTTTTCTTCTGGTTTAGGTCCCTAGAAACATTCGGCATTTGTAGCCTGGAGGATTAGAACATCTAACTCTCACTCAAGAAAATAAAATTATATTACCACAGACCTAGATGTTCAAGTACAAGCAATTCACCGCAGCGAGTGGAAAGAAAGTAAATATGATAATGGAGCTAAATAAATGGCCAGGGTGGTTTTCGACTTCCATTTACTTTAATCAAGTTGCTTTGGCATTCATCAATGTTCACTCTCATATGAGCATTACAAAAATTAATTTGTTGAAAAATTGGTTCACATAATATCGTAGAACCATCAAAACACTTAGTGTAAGCATAAAATGTTTTAAAACCACAATCAATGGCTCTGTTTACCCAATAAAAATGATAAATCTATTTTCACTGCAAACCTTGTCAATTACATAGGACATCTAAAATTTTACTTCAATAAGATAATATTATAGTTTTACAACAATGAAAAGAATTATAAAATTTTAGTCTGTAAAAGCTAGATTATCCAAGATCCAAATAATTTCAAACTCATGTTCCCAAGCGGAATTTTTAAGGATCTACAAGCATACCTTGCGTGCAAGCTTCTCCAGTTTCTCTTGTTCAGTTTTCTGCAAAATCACAATCAATAAGCTACGAATGGAGAAAATGTACTAAAGACATCATAAGAAAGTAGATGGTAAAGGTGGGATGTACACTCATACATAAAACAAACTCTTGGCGTTGAAAAATCTCCAAGAGTTCGCCATTTGATGTTTCAACTTAGACAAATGTCCCACATTAAAAAATTCAGTTATATATGTTGATAAACTAAACTTTCATTAAGAACAATGAAAATACAACTAACTAGAAAAAGCTTTCAGTTATATTGTAATGTCAAAATGAATAACTACAGAACTCCACAAAGAAGTAGTTTTAATTCCCAAGTCATGAATCTCTATGGCAATATCCAAAAACCAATCTTCTACTTCAATAACACCATCTAACCCACTAGACAAAATAAGGTATGAGCCTATACTAAATTAAAAATACAATTGAGCAATAGAAACTTAAAAGGATGGTACACTTGTTAGAGGGAGTCTAGACCGCCATTATTGACTCTTCAAATAAATCAAAAGGCAAAACCATGTACATTTCCCATAAGTGAATTCTCCATACTTTATCGCTCATTTCATCATTCAAATATGATAACATATGAAAAACAGCAAACTATTAGAAATCCCTAAAATTAGGAAAATCACTAATAAGAAGATAAATGCGAACCTAAAAACATATCTAAATACCCAATTATTCAAAATTAAAGACAAGCCTAGTTGATAAAGTAAAACATGATCGTTTTTTTCCTCCTCCCTTGAACAAAACTCTCATCCTCAAAGGGGAAAGATATCTTTGCACACGTCACTATTAGGATCGAAGCCATTTTATTTGACACCAAATACTGCAATACCGCTCTTGAAATTATAGTACCGATCCTACGAACAGACGTAGGAACTTTCGCCTTCAACACAAAGGGACTCCGATCGCTCAATATCTTTGAAACTGTCTCTAATACCAAATAATACTAATAAAGATTAAAATGAACAGCAGAAAAATAAAAGAGAACAGTAGACTCATTCGAAACTGTAGAACTCTATCCTTCGATAAACTCAAAACAAGCTATACTACATATTTACAGCAAGTAAATTCGCCATACTTTTCTATCCATTTCATCATTTATAATGAATGAAACAACCAACGCGACCTAACAAAAAACAAATTTAAAAAGCACACAATCATTTGGCAAACACACAAAAATCACAGGTCGGAGGCTCCAGACGGTCACCTTGATGTAGACATTCTCGGCAGCCTTCTCTTCCTCGCTAAGTATCTTGCCGCTGCTCGAGAACCTTCGAGAAACAATCCTCGCCGCCGTCCGCGCTGCTGCCATTTCGATCGATCGCCTTTCCTAACCAGGAGAAAACGAGTGATGCTATTGAAACGGAACAATCATCGGGAAAACATGCAACATGTAGCTTGCAGAAGATCACTTACCGAAAAGAGAACAAAGATCAAGAACTGTGAAGAACAAAGATGAGTGAGATGAGAAGTGAGAAGTGAGAAGAGAGAGATTCGGGAAGAAAACGGTGGGCGTCGCTGTGGAGGAAGTCAGAATAGGGCTTTTTCTCGTGGATGTAAAAAAATTATGAAGGCGAAATGTGTGGAGATCAAGAAACTGGAACCCGTTTGATCTAAGAAACGAATCAACAAAATTACAACACCTGTCTGCATTTTTACTAAATTTTAGTTTGGGTTTAAATACTATTTTCTTCTTTATATTTTCGCCTTTTGACTTTGTTTGGGCTTATTTTAATATTTCTGCTCTCAAAAACGTCTATTTTAATTTATATATATTACTTTTTTTATTTTAATACATTTACTTTTAAATCTTCTTACCTGATTTCTTATTATCCACTGAATTGGTATAAAATGGTCTTAGTTGGGTATAAATTTTGTTTATTAAAATTTTACAAATAGAGATAAAATTTGTCACTTTTTTTAATATATGAACTAAAACTAATGTTTGAAAGTACAATACTAAAATGAAAAAAAATATATTTGAAAGTACAAATTAAATTTAACGTTTTAAAAATATAAATATCAAAAATTAAATTAAAAGTACCACGATCAAAACATTGAGTTTAGTTTGATCCTTAATCATCTTAATCATTTTAAAATTTTCGATTTAATTGTTATAATGTATATAAAATAAATGGTGGATGGGTAGTTATTTTATAGGTTCATATTTCTCAATGATATCCCACGATCAAGACAATTGGCTAAATCCCGTGAACCCGAGAACCGAAACACATATAAAAAGAGTAAATACTCGCCCGCGAACGTTTCATTTTATTAGATTTATAAATTTTGGTGGATCAAATATAATAATAGATAAAAAAAAATTATTCTATTATTCTAGAATCTATAAACAGTTTAGTYTTCTATCAAAATAAAAGGGAGCAGGTTTGAAAAAGGATCTTATCCCTTATCCCTTTCAAACAAAGGGGGAGAATCGGTGTTTTACTACCAACCACAAATTTAATGATAAGTTTTAGTTAGATATGATTTTAAATATATTTGGTTTCTTTAGTAATGGAGTTGAACCTACAATTTTTTAAATAGAAATACATATCTTTAATTGAGCTACGTATTGGTTTTAATTTATTTTTTTTCTAGTGTTAATTCGATGCTCAAGGTGGGGTTAGATTTTGTAAATCATTTCACAGCTATTTTTTGCGACTTGAAAGTCCTTTTGCTCTCATTTTTCATCTAGCCTAAATCTGAATGGGTTAAATTACAAAATTGCTTTCCCATATGATTTAGTGTAGTTTTAGTTTGGTGTATATGGTATGAAAAGTTTTAATTTGATCACCACAATTTGATTTTTGTTTCAATTTTGTCAGTGCAGTTTTTAGACTTTTAATTTCATCTCTATAGTTTGATTAAATCTCACCACTCGACTCTATTGTTAGAAAATATTGCTTATTTTCTATTTACGTGATGTGATGTGAGCTTTATTTACTGAGATGATGAAATAGGTCAATGGATGAGTAAAGAAAATTGATATATCAAATCAATTATTTTGTATTCCATGTCCTCTAGGGATGTTAACGGGTTGGGTCAGATTAGGAGGGATTTTGGAAACAAACTCGAATTTTTGAGTTGGCCATATATAGGAACCGTCGAGTTTGAATTTGATGGTCAACCAAACCCAACCCAATATCTTCGGGTTAGGTTGTTGAGTTGTATTTTTTTTTAATTCGACTTGGGTTGGACTGACCCGATGTTTTAAAAATTGAACCTGAGACCTAATCCAATCCATCGGGTTGGGAAAATCATAACCTAATCCAACCTGAGACTTCATCCAACCGAACCCTTACGATTTGGTAATTAAATGTTAAGAATAAAAAATAAGACCATTAAGACTTAAAAATGTAATAAAAATCTTATGATATTTTATAATTAGGTAAATACAACCGCCAAAGCGAATATAACTCAACGGTAATTGGTATACGACATATAATTTTTCAAGAAAATAATTTGGTTGGTGATATGTATTTGGAATAAATTTAAAATAAAACATTATTAAAAAAATATCGACGCACCCTTGCTCACAATCGCAATTGGCAAGCCATGTTAGACTTGTTTTTCGTCCCCACTCGGAAAAAGATGATTAGAAATGGGCATTTCACGCCATTGCCAGTCCCCAAGCTCAAAAGGCGAGTACAATTTCGCTTTATCAGCAGCCTTACGAGTCGCAATTTGTCTCTCAAAAGTTAGGATTTGGTAAAGAAAAAAAGCAGCAGACAGATTTGCTCCGGCTCCGCCTGCCCTCGACTACTTCATCGGACTACACAGGAACAACCAGCCGACTGACCTCCCGATGGCGACACCAAGAGGAGAGGTCACTGTTTCTGCTCTGCAATTTGCTTGCACAGACGACGTCTCCACCAATGTCGCCACCGCTGAAAGGTTTGCCTGTTTCCTCAAATGGGTTTCTACTTCAGTTGTTCCCTACACCTGGGTCTTTGAATTTTATGTAATCTGAATTCATTGTTCCTTCGTGTCACGCCCCCGTAACTGTGATGCTCATTTTGAATCTCTTTGCTTCTAGTTGTTGTTGTACATGAACGAAATAGTGAAGTAATGGGATAACTATCATGGTGGCTGTCCAAAGGAGTTGGGTTAATGAAGAGGGGGCGGGTTCAAACCCATAGTGGCCACCAACCTCACGATTAGTAATTCTTATGTTTTTCGACACAAAATGTGGTAAGATCTAGTCGATGGCACGCAAGCTGATCCGAACTCGTAAAAAAAAGTAGTGAAGTAGTGGGATACTTTTTGAGTTTATTTTGTTGTTGTAGGTGATTGGTATGACTATGAMTAAACTTCAAGCGACTGAGATTCGGGATTCTTTATTGTTGTCCCGAGGAGTGTCTTATCATGGCCGATAAATTCCAGTTTTTATTTGATTTAGTGCTGCAGACATTGTGTATTGACAATTTGGTTTTAGTATTTTTTTTTCCTTGTCCATTAACGTTAGTATTGCAAGTCTCCTCACTCTCAAGGAGTAAGTTTTTGTGCTGCTCCCTCATTTAGCAAAAACTTGTGACCTTGCCAGATTTCTCCTGTAGACAACTAGCTAACATTAGGGTTTGAAAGTATATTAACTTTTATACATCTTGATGTGTTGGCTCCCGTTTGAGAGCTTCCTTCTAGTGCTGTTTCTAGTTTATTCATTTGTGCGTGTTTAATACTGCTTGAACTTCCATTTCTTTGCAGGCTGGTTAGATCGGCGCATGCAAAGGGTGCAAACATAGTACTGATTCAGGTATATAAACTAGAAACTAAATCTATAAACTTTTCCCATTGACAGGTTAAATTTATCCCACTGACGTTACTTTTGTTCATTATGTATATTAGTTCTAAGTCTGGCCATAAAAAAAAAAAAAAAAGCATAATTAAAAAAAATTGAAGCTACTGTATTAAAAGAAATGGATGAAGGATCAAATTCAGAAAGCTGCTTGAATCCTACCCTCAGTCTCAGAGAATTGGCAGTGGAGAAATTAATGATCCAAGAATCCAACATCACTTCCACATAAAGGCAGCAATGAAAAATAAGGACTTCTCCCCTTCAAGAGATCACAAATATTTAACATTTTCAAATCCATAGGCCAAAGAAACACTCTACCGAACCACTTTGAAATTGTAAAATAGATTCATATTTAACTTCTGATTTCATAGAAATATTTACGAAAAAACACATCCTTAGAAATCATAAAGCGTGCATTGAAGAAATGACTTGGAAAAGTTCCTTTAGAACAAAGATAATGGTGTTAACTTGATAGTTGATACAACCTCGAATTGAAATAAGGAGCCAATGAATCAACAAAGTCAACATGATCAAAGACAACCTGTTGATTTGAGGAAAATGATATATATGAGCCTGAGTCGATTCATCGAATACTAATGCAGCATATGCATGCATCAAAGCATTCCGCATATGATGTCATGTCCATCTTATTGCTGCCTTGTTGCATGGTGTGGAAATTTGTTGAATTGTGTTTGATACATCAACTGTAAAGACACCGCCTACTAAGGGACAAACTGGCTAGACAACTGATTCTTTTTCTTTGGAGTCATCTGGTTGCAACAAGCTAATTTTTTATTATATATATATTTTTAATTGAACTTTTTCTCATGGATTTTCTCAGGAACTATTTGAAGGCTACTACTTCTGCCAGGCACAAAGGGAGGATTATATTCAACGAGCTAAGCCTTATAAAGATCATCCTACAATTCTTAGGTAAAGTCAAATCGACATTGGCATTTCTCTTAACGTGGCATTCCATATAGCTTTATACTCCATCCATTTCAGATCCCTTATCAGAGGGACAGAGATTTACTCTTGACCTTATCGAAATAGATGCTTTTTTTGTCAAACTTATTTCAGCATTTGTTTCTTGTCTAGGATGCAGCAACTTGCAAAAGAGCTGGGTATGGTGATTCCTGTTAGTTTCTTTGAAGAAGCTAATAATGCCCATTATAACTCCATAGCCATAATTGATGCTGATGGGTCAGATCTTGGACTTTACAGAAAGTCCCATATCCCAGATGGACCAGGTAGCAAGAAGCATTTATTTCTTAACCCAAAATTTTTTATATTAATTGTTTTTACAGTAAACATTAATTTTCTACAGGCTATCAGGAGAAGTTCTACTTTAATCCTGGTGACACTGGGTTTAAGGTGAGCGCTTGTGTTTATGCATCTTAATCTGCACAATCTGTGGATAATCTGTGAATTGAATTCAAATACTAGTGGAACTCATCATGATGCCTTTTTTGATGCTTGAACAGGTTTTCCAAACAAAATTTGCGAAGATTGGAGTTGGTAAGATAATTGTTTTGCTTCTTCCACTGTTGGAAACTTTTATAGTTTGAGCCAATCTTTTAGAAGTCTTAGTTTTGTCCTTGATCCTTGCGGATGCTATTTTATTAGTTAGTGCTGTCCATTAATAGGGCAGAGTTAAATCATAAGGAAATGTTGGCGTGCCATGTTATTTTTTGATTTGGCGTGCAGAGATTTATTATTGATTTTTTTTTAATAAGAAACAAGACA